TTCTACTCTTGTGAAGAGGGACAGTCTCCGAAACCCGCAGGGGCAGTTCTACCCTGCCCTACAGGGTTGCTCGGAGTCAGCATCGGCTCGATGGCGCTGAGTTTGTTGCCTCAGAGCTGATCAACCCTGGACGTGTAGTGCTTACACGTCGTCTGACAACCACAAGGTTAACGTTGGGAAACGCCAGCCGCCGTGAGACTTTCCACAGTTCCACCCTGACCTGTAGGGTCGCTGTGAGTCAGCATTGACTGATGGCGGTGGGTTTGGTTGGCTTGGGAGCTACAGAGCGACGACGGTTAATACTCGATTCAAAGACTAGAGTCAGGAAATGGAACTGTGTGTGGGTTTAGGCAGAAAGAGAAGACCCCTGTTTTGTACACTTCTCAACAGGGTCCTAGGAGATAAATCTGGATGTGGGCACGCGGGTGGGTGGGTGGGTGGATGGATGAGGCGGCTGGGACGCAGCGCCTGTGCTAGGGGATTTCGCTGGAAAGAGAGCAAAACTGAACTGGGAAACCCTTTTCCTTGAAATGCCTCTCGGCCCCTCCTGGCCAGACCGCGGCCGTGGCCTTCCTGTTTCTCGGCGCTAGGGGAACTTCTTCCAAGCCTCTCCATCCGCCGCGGGCCGCTTTCGGTTCTGCCGGGATTCCCGGAGGAGGCTGGAGGGACCCAAGAAGGTCCCCAGCATCTGCGAGGAACTCTGTCCAGGGCGAGGAGAAAGGGCCGGGTCTCGGCCGCCTCTCCAGTGCGTCCCCAACTCCAGGCACAGGGAAACTTGCGGGAATGTCCTGGGGAAAATCCCTGGGGACGGGGCGGGGCAGGGGCACCCCCAAGCCACCCCGGCCGAGATTGGTCCCCCGGGCACCGCCCCCTTTCTGGGCGGGGCCACAGCCGGGCGCGGGGTAACTACAGGCACCCCAGGACGCCCAGTCTTGTGCCGCGGGCTCGCACTGCAGCATGGCTCGGCTTCTTCTGCACACCCTGCTCTGGGGCTGCTGGCTGACTACCGTGAGTTCCGTTTCTGCCCTGGCCTGCCCCGGGAATTGGGGATTTCTGAGCGGGACATGGGGAGGAGAGGGAAGCCAGGCCCTTGGGGAGGATACCTTCCTGGCTGGTTTCCAGGAGACAGGAGGGTGGACGCTGGCTGAGTGGGGTGGGTCTCCTGTCTCCGTCCCCGCGGCGGCCCCAGGTGGCCCACCGAGGGTCTGCAGGGGGTGGGCGTGCAGGTACGGGTGAGCCTAGATGGCGTGGACAGGGTCCCTGCGAAGGCTGGAGGGTGGGCTCGCCTCCGGGCAGTGTCCGAGCGCCGGAAGGGAAGGGCAGGCAGCCTTGAGAAGGGGGCGGATCAAGCGGCTTCCTGCCCCTTTCTGCTACCCCTCGCCCCCTGTGGGCAGATCCTCGTCTCTGCAGCCCCAGCTGCCTTCATGCGGGCCATCTGTAGGTACCAGGTGTGGGGGCAGATTCCAGACCTGGAAGGGCTGGCATTGCCCACTCCCCTCCCCCACGCAGGGGCTGGGATGTACAGTTCAGGGGACCCAAGATCGGGACAGTGGGGGGTTTCTCTAGGTACCCAGAAGGGCGCAGAAGCAACCAAGCGAGTCTCCGGGATTTTTCAGAGCCCTGCGCTTGACTCATTTTTAATTTAAATTATTTTTGTAGTTCCTCATTCTGGAGGTTGGGAATCCCCCAAGTACCTGGCCCTTTCCTCCTGCTCCTCTGGGCCCCCCCCTCCGCCCCCAATTGGGGTGGTGATGCTGTCAGATTCCTGGTGGCATGGTGGGTCATGCACTGAGCTGCTAATCACCAGGTTGGCAGTTCAAACCCACCAGCCACTCCATGGGAGAAAGATGAGGCTTTTTACTCCTGTAAAGAGTTAAAGTCTCGGAAATCCAAAGGGGCAGTTCTACTCTGCCCTATAGGGGCGACACGAGTTGGGGTTGACTCATGATGCCAAATGTGGTTTTGGTTTTGGTGGTGTGGATTCGTGAGGTCCGCTGAATGGCCCATGGTGTGTGTGTGTGGGGGGAGGGTCAGGAGCAAGGGGAAGCCTGGGCCCCGGCTTTCATTTTCACTCTGAGCCCTGGGTCTTAGGGGAAAGGCAGGCACCAGGAGAGTGTGGGACTGGAGAGGGCAGGTTTGAGGGCCCTCTGCACGGTGGGGTGGAGCAGGATTCCACAGGGTTGTCTGGGCTTCTCAAGAGCCCCCATAACCCACCCTCACCCCCGTTAACCCACCCTCACCCCCGTTTGGGCTCCAGATAGAGGCTGTGTCTATACAACCGGGTGTAAGAAGCCTCATCTGTCGGAGGTCTGGAACTGCTGACCTTGGGGTTAGCAGCCTCA